TGGGCACGCACGCACACGCGCCTGGCGTGAGTTTTAAGCCACCGGGTCCGGGACACGAACCGCGGTCGACTACGTGGGAGTCCAGCGACATAGCCATTACGCTAACTGCTGGTTCCCTGGAGTCCAGGTTTCTTGACGCCTGATTCAATATCTTTCCCTTAAACTGCCTTCCTTTCTTTCACGTTCTTCTCGGTCTAGAAGCTCATTGTTCTGATTTTGTCCCCTTACAGATGTGCAAGTGCCCTGACAGCACAACGTTTGTCTCCCTAGTTTTTCAGTCATCAGAGGACACATGCACAGGCCAGAGAGAGAGATAGAGAAAGAGAGAAGGAGAGGAGGAAAGCTCTCCCAATGGGAGGTAGTCATGCCACAATACCTTCTCCTCCATTTCTCCATCCCATTGGGGTTCTGGTCATGCACACACATGTGCCTGCCGTGTTTTCCAAACTGCTGGGGCAGGGATTTGCACCATGGTCAGCCGTGTGGGATCCAGCTCCCTTAACCACTAGGCTATGGGGCTGCCCCCCCTTTTTTAATGTCTTCATGGGATCAGCAGATGGTATAATGGTTATGTTGCTGGGCTCCCATGTAGTCAACCATGGTTCAAGTCCTGGACCTGGCAGTTTAAAACTCACACTAGGAGCATGTGCATGCATGATCAAAATCCCAAGAGGAAAATAGAGGAGAAGGGATTGCAGCATGGCCATCCTCCTTGCAGGGGGAAGGGGAGTGATTTCTTGCTTTCTCTCTATCTCTCTCTGTCTCTCCAGCAAGCACTCACACCCTATAGCAAAAAAAAAAAAAAAAAACTTCTCTTAAAAAAAAAAAGTTTTTCTTTCTTCTTTCCCCACCCCCAAGTTTTTCTTTCTTCTGAGAGAGTGAGAGAAAATACCCCTAGACCTGTGTGTAGAAACCATCCCATGTAGGAATTGTCGTGACTGAGTCTAAGCAATGAGAGTGAATATAAGCAATGAGGAAGCATCAGAACCACTACGTCTCATTACTATTATTGCTGCATTGTCTTTTTTCAAAAATACTGTCTAACTTCTTGAGGGCAGAACCAGCAGATGACGTAATGGATGGCATCACTGGACTTCCACATAGCTGAGTGTGGTTCCTGGGCCCAGTAGCTTGAAACTCACACCGGGCACATATGCGTACATCAAGATCCCAGGAGGAGAATGGAGAAGGGATTGCTGCATGATCACCCCCCCGGGGGCGGGGAATGACTTCTCACTTTTTGTTTCTCTGTATCTCTCTGTCTCTCTGGCAAGCACATGCACCCTATAACAAAAATATCTCTCAAAAAAAATTCCTGAGGGTAATAGATTGTGTTTAAGTCATCTTGATCTATTTTCCAACTTTACACTCATTGCCCCCAATGCACACATATTATATGCACATACCCACTAGCACACACACCTGTATCACGCCTGAAATTGATGGGACTAGCCCTAGGACCAATCTTCCTCATATCAACCGACCAGACCAGCTGTCCAGGGGATACAGCCCCAGCTTCTGCTTCCTGAGATTCAACCCGAGCTGAGCAAAGGTTTCCATTTATCCAGAGACTAGAGCATCTCTAACTTCTGCCCGTCCAGGAATGGGAATACTGCCCAGGATTTTTCTCCTGTTGGCCATCATTTCTGCACACAAACAGAAGCACATCTTTTATTCAATGTTCAGGGCTTTGGAACAGTTCCCCTAGAACTGTGCCATCTAAAGGGCTTGCATTGGGTGCTAGGGATGGAGCAGCGGCCTCAATTTTGGCCACAGGTCATCAGTAATGATGTCCTGGCAGCACTAAAAGGTGCTCAAGTGAATGACCATTGGCTGTTATTTCACCCAAGTGAAGAACCTCATGGAGAGGGGTACAGGGCATCCCCCCATCACATAGTTTGGCTGACATCATTTTCCTTTTGGGAGCTCATTGGCTATTCCCACAACCTTGACTATAGACATGAGGGTGAGGAGAGAAAGACATTGACAGAGAGTTTGTGAGTAGGAATATTCCCTAAGGATTTCCTCGAGTTATAGGGGCTCCCACACCCACCTCTCTCCAGCTTGGCCTTGGAAGAGGGGAGAGACAGAGAACAGAAGTCTGGATTGTTGCTAGATACCTTGGGTTGCACCAGAAAGTATTTTGTTAGTAGGATGTGAGAAGGGAAGGACCAAAAGGGGTTTCGTGTGCTGATTTTCTTAACTAGACAAGCTCACTGAGCTTGGGATGGCAGAGAGTGATGGCCTAAAACCCTGCTACTCAAAGGATAGTGCCCTGGCCAGCAGCATCCGCATCAGCTGGCCTTTAAGCCTCATCTCAGACCTGCCAAGTTGGAAACTGCATCTCATTCTCTAGATAATTCATATGCCCATTGAAGTTTCAGAAGCATTAGCCTGGATGCTCACAAGAATGACTTCTTGCAACAAGTTGCCAAGAAACTGTACCAGGTGATCTCTCTGTCTTCCAAACCCACTCTCCATCCTTCTCCCTACTCTTGGGGCTGAGAAATAAACTGATGAGTTCACTTCCTTTATGAATTGCTCTGACAGGTCCCTTGTCATCTGACTTCTGGTTGGGTTGAGCCAATGATCAGTCTTCCGGAAAGAGCGACTTGACGTGCCGT